CCCGCGCCCCCCGCCGCCGCCGCGAGGGAAAGTGAGAATGAGCCGCCCGCACTCACCCGGGCGGCGCCCCTGCTGCGCGGCCCGCAGCATCCAGGCGCCCGGTCCCTGCAGCGGCCGCCGGCCGGTCAGCGCCGCGTGGACGCCGGGCCCCGGGGCTCTGCCCGCGGAGTGCACTGCAGCGCGGCGGGCGCGGGCTCGCGACGCGTGTCCCACATAGTCCAGCGCGACGCAAAACGCGGATCCGGAGTGCGCGCGTGTGGACCTGGGCCGCCTGCTACTCGGCGGCGAGGCGCGGCTCTGTCCTCCAACCGCAGCCGGCCACGGACACCGACGCCTCCATCTCGGACGCGCCGTCTCCCAGGACCTCCACCACGGAGAGCAGGGGCCCCCGCCCCCTGGTGTTGCAGAGAAATGTCTGTAATTTCATTTCCCAGACGATCCCTGGTTAGGCAGGAGCCACCTATTGTGATGATATCATTTGCTCCAGTGCCATAAATGGGCAACTTCCTAGGGCGCGTCACTGCGCTGACGACACGGGCCTGTGTGACAGCGAGTGGGCAGCTGCTCGGAGGCCCGTCCACCCAGGCAGCTTCTACTCATGATGCACAGTGCTCCCCAGTGTCTGAAAAGTTACAGTCAGAGAAGAGAGAGCCCTCCACTCCAGGGCTCCGTCAGCCTCCGGGCAGGCCTTCCCTGGGAGACAGCCGCTGGCGCCTGTCACCCACCCTTCACCTGCCTCCTGGGACAGCCTGGGTGTAGACAGTCACAGGGAAACGCTTCCTGCTGACCGACCACAAAGGGCTGGGGCCTGCTGGCTGACGCTGCTCTTTAAGGTGGAGACCCCAGCCCTCCAGCCCCACGCAGGCACACAGCTCCCTGCAAAGCGCACTGTGGGAGGGGGAACCAAACCAGGACAGGCCTGTCCCAGGGACGCAGCCCGGGGGAGGGGGTCCGGCAGCGCTCCTGTGACGGGACTTCACTCTCAGCCGAGATTTCTCTATGTGGACATTTGGAACAGCCAACAACCCGAGGTCTGTTTACATACACTGTTTTGTCGTCATCTGTGTCACGAGCAAGTACTGGGGAGAATCAAGTACAAAGAAAGACTCCCAAAGCTGGGTCTCCACGTGGAGACACGACGGAGGCACTGGGACAGATTTCCACAATACAGTCTTCTGGAACGGGACCCTCCACTACTCCAGCGACCTAAATAGTTCTCTCAGAAAAGTCAGTTTCCGTGGACCCCGTCACCATCGCTAACACTGGCTGGTGGATGAAGGCTTTGGGGTTACTGAGCCACGCTAGTCCCCCGGAGGACGCATCTGTGGGTCCATCAGGACGCTGGAGGTGGCCCGTTTCCACCGGCTTCGGTTCTCATCCGACCAGTTCCCAGCTACCAATCCCGCTGAGGGACATGGGGCCGTGGGTTTGCTCCCACCCCGTGGGACGTGAGGGCGCCCCGCTGAAATCAATGCACAGCCCACGATGCCGGCGTTTAGCACACAGAGTGGAATAGCCAAGTCCCCTCCCCGGAGTGACCTCACAGGGTGAGAACCCCATGTGAATCAGTGTCAAGGAGCGACCTCAGGCCTGATCTCAGGGGAGCTCGCAGGCCCCTCGGCGAAGAGAAGGCTGGCCGTCACACGTGCTGACATGGTAGGCGTTTCATTCTGTGGGGACATCACCATGAACACCATGTGGGCTGGAGAGTGTCCCCCAAGTTCACAGCCACCTGGAACCTCGGAATGTCACCTTGCTTGGAAACAGGGTCTCTGCAGATGGAATTAATTACGGATCTGAGATGAGACAGGAGAGGCCACAGAAGCATACAAAGGGGGCTGCGTCGTGACAATCAGGCTGGTGACGTGTCCACAGGCCACAGAACAGCAAGGACGCCACGCACGCCAGAACCTTCTGAGCACCATGCTCGTCAGCTCTTCTGAGGCAAACACAGGTGGGCGTTCTCATCAAGGCAGGCTGACGTGCAAGGGTTCAGGGCATCCGTGCGGTCACGTCAGCGTGTGCCTCTCGCTTCCAATCCTGGGCTGCGAGGAGTCGTCCTTCCGCAGCTGGTTTTCACCCGTCTGCAGACACCCACCTTTGTGAGACGTGATAAAGGAAGTCTAGCCACGTCATGACGGCACATTTCCAACCGCCAGGTGATGACTGCAAAACTGGATTTTAACGAACCCTAACGAGCCAATAACCACACACCACAATCTGGGCCGTCGCCGTGCCACCCAAGACTTGAGAACCGCTATGCAGGCGACTTAAAACACCATCTCAGAACTCCATCGCCGGGTTTAACCGGCTCGAATAGCTTCCGGAGCTGCTGCCATGCTGCCATTCCCCGGCACGTGGCTATGCGTGGCGTCCAGTATCAGACAGGTTCTCCAGGGAAACAGAACCAATGGGACGTGGACACAGACTTATTACAGGAATTGGCTCACACAATACAGGGGCCGGGAAGTCTTGCGACCTTCCATCTGTAGGCTGGGGCCCCAGGAGAGCTGGGACTGTAACTCAGTCTGAGCCCCGTTTCCCGACAACCAGGAGCTCTGATGGCCGAGGGCTGGGGGTGGACGCCCCAGCTTAGGCAGGCAGAGTCCTCCCTCCTGCCCCTCTCTGTGTGCTCGGACCCTCCATGGATGGGGGGCGGCCCACACTGGGGAGGACCGTCTGCTTTCCTTAGTCCACTGACTCAAATGCGAATCCCTGCAGGAAACCCTTCACAGACACCCCCAGAAATAGCATTTTACCAGCACTCGGGCGTCTCAGTCCAACTGACACAAACCGAACCACAGAGAGAACAAGTTATCACGCTTGTGAGCGCTGAGCCTGAGTCGACACAGAGTGGGGTTGAGGGTCTGCAAATACGGCGCTGGGACCCCAACGCGTTGCTCCTCCGTCTCACACATCAAAGTTTCCACAAGCACTTTGCTTTGCTCCATGAAATGAAAGATTGTCTTGCCTTTTGTCTTCTTGGTGGCGTATTTTAACCCCTAGTGTCAGCATCAATGAACAGTCACAATTCTTAAAGATGAAAGGCTACGAGCCGTTAGCAAATAAATCTCACTCAGAGAAAGCTGCCCCAGAGGCCGTCGTGTTTGGTCCTTGAGTGTAACCCCGGGAGGATTCGCTGGAGTTTAGAATACAGATTCCTAACCTTCTTTCAGAGTTAGACCTAAGAAATCAAGAGCCAGTCCAACTCGTAAGTTATAAAAATAATAAGTAAACTATAGATTTTTAGGGCAATGCCATTTATAGCTACGAAAGCGAAGAGTAATTAATGAGTCCATTAATGACTGATGCCCTGTTTACACAAGCCTCACAATGGACAGTAATTTAGAAAATGGAAAATACATGCAGCATCTGAATCTTTGGATTAACATGAACTGTGTGTCACCCAAATTTACCCGTATGAAACGCATTTAAATTTACTCACGTTGCCTAATGACCTATGTTAATACAAACTGCCAAATCCAACTCATCAGAGCTGCACGTGTATCTACGGGGACCTGTGTGTCCTGGTGTGAGAATCACACTCAGGTCGAATCCTCTCAGGGGCTTTGAGGGTGAAACTGCAGTGACAGGCCCACAACCCAAAGCCGTGTCTGAGGTAAAATGTGACGTCTGACACTCGTGCTTCTCAGGCTGAGGGTCTGGACTCTTGTCACCAGCCAGGAGTTCTCAGGTTTCACAAGCACCGTCCTGAGTTTCTTCAAAGAGATTTCTCATTATGACATTTTACCCCCATATTTGGGGTGTATTCACTACAAAAAGGAGTGAGTGGGGTGACTACTGACCTACCTAGCAGGGACTGTTTGATGTTTCATGGCATAACCACAATACTCCCTACAGCCGGACTGAGGTCAGGGCGGTCACTCCAACCTATTACTAAGTGGACTGAGCTGTGGACCTAAGTGGCCCTGGAGCTACTGTCCGGCCCAGTTGGCTCCGGTCCAGCTGTCTGCCTCAAAGGTGACACAGACGGACGCCAGCACCACGCTACAGGACTGTCATGATTCCACCCCAGGCCGAGCCAGTCCCTGTGCCTGAACCACGTACCGGGAGTGGCATTCACTGTACCAGGATCGGCAAACTTTTGAGACAAAACACACCCAGAGCCGCATGTGGCTCACCACGCACTGTACGCACGCTGGGCCATGGCGTGGGCTCCCATGGGCTCAGGGCAAGGGTGCAACCCTGGTCATGACAAACACTAGTTCTGTGACGAGGGATACAACAAAGAATAACTCCTTAAATACATGTCAAAAACATGGAAAACTCCTAAAAGCAAAACCATAAAAATAAGTATGGGAAAAAGAGGAAACAGTGAGAGCAGCTAGGATGCACAGACGGCAGAAATGGGTAAGCGACAAGAATCTAGTCTTCCAAATGCACAGAATATTTAAGTAAAATAAAACTGAAATGCACAGAAAAAGGAGCCATATATGCATGAAAGAAACACTATGGGGTCATGAGTGGAGTGACCCACGTGGCCAGGCCTCTTGCAAAACGGTTCCACGTTAATACCTTAGACTGAACTCACTTAACCCACAGTTACAATGAGAAACAGTACGGGTAGGTTTTCCAGAAATGTGAATAACATTTTTTAAAACCCTCTAATGTTACTATGAGTTGCCACAAGAAGCGACACAATAGAGGGCTAGCCTGCACTAGCCACTTTGTCACAGGACAGTTCTACCTGGTGCAGACTGAACGCACATGCCTGCAATGCCGCGCTCTCCCTCCACGATACACCACGACCTGCCTCTCAGCCTCAGGCCACACTGTGGTCTGTCTTCTCAGTGACTGTTTCTGCACTCAAGCAGGAATTCTTTCCTCTTACATGTAAATATTAAGAAGCTGGGTCCGGAGAGGTGAAGCATTGTGTCCAAATCCATGAAGTGCAATCTGTGGGACCAGGGCTTCTCCCCATGGTGTCCCCGCTACGCAGAAGCCTCACTGGCGTGCAGCTGGACTCTGCTCCCCTCAAGGGGGAGCAGCCCAAGGGCTGCCGTTACTGTCGTAGAAGAGAATTTGGCATCGAGAAAGGAAAGACATTTGGCTTTAGATTTCTAATGGGAAACATTTGCCAACAGGACTATTAAATGATGCGTTATGGACTCTGAGGAATAAGCAGAGAATTTAAATGGAAAAGTATATTATCTGACATGAACATTAAGCCAGATAAAGACCTAACACATCCACGGATAGAGAGTCTGGAACATTTATCACAGTGATACGCACAGGAGGCAGAGGAGGCCTAAAAAGTTTGGATGATTCTAAATCACTGTCCTTATAGTTTAAAATGAAATATAAAAATCAATTTGCTAGTTTTTTTTTTTAAGATTTTATTGGGGAATTGGGGGAGGGGAACAG